ACTGGAGACCGATCGATTTGACGGAGAGTGACCGTACAACAGAGAGTCACACGAGAGACTATCAATAACACCGATAACGACTGGAGACCGATCGGCGCGATGTAGAGTGGCCATCCGACGGAGAAGACATATCGGGAATTCAAAAACCATCGGGGGAAACGTCTGGGCGGGAATTCAAAAGTCTACGGGGAAACGTCTGGGCGGGAATTCAAAAGTCTACGAGGGAAACGTCTGGGCGGGAATTTAAAGTCTACGGGGAAAACGTCTGGGCGGGAAATTCAAAATCTGGAAGGAGGATCGGCGCTGTGGAACTCCATAAGGAGCTGTGAGCGTCGTGGGAACCATCTGGAAGAGCGAGTCGACTGGAAGACTACAGGCGAACGAGGACAAGTACGAGGAGAAGACACGTCGAGGGAAGGATGTCAGAATGTGGAGTATACCAAGGCAGAGAAAACAGCGAGTCTCTTTTTCATTCCCGAAGTAGGGGGAGAATGTGAGGAGTTGAATAACTCCCCACAAGTTAAGAAGCAAGCAGAGTAAGCGCATGCAAGCAGTGGCCTACCAGTTACCAATTACGCGGCGAATTCACCCGTAGTAACGGTAGTGCGGAGAGAGAGAGTGGTGAACTGAGCACCAGACAAAGCCAAGGAGAGTCCGAGAGGGACAGCAATACAAGAGAGCGGCGAAGGGCCGTGGGCAGAAGGAAGTAACGGGACGGCACCGGACTTTGGACCCTGATATTGGTGCCGGGCGCAGAGGGCGAAAGGTCGAACGGTAAAACCGTGGACTTTGGACCAGGAGGCAAGGAGACGCCGATAACTAGCGGTAAATGGAGGCCTATATAAACCGGCCGAGCACAGGAAGCTGGATCACTCGATTTCTATCAAGTCAACAAGTAACAGTCATCAAGTGAACAAGTAACCAGTGCAACATCGTGAAGGAGCAAGTAAAGCCGTGCGGAGTCATCAAGGAAACAAGATCGCTACGTCGAGACGTTCGGGACTTAGAGCCAAAGTCTCCGAATTGAGACACATGTAGCTGAGGTCCTTACGGCATCACACGGCTAAGTCCAGGCGCTTTGTTACAACTTCTGTCGCGATTTGAGCTTGGCATCCCACCCGGCGTGTCCGACAAAGTGAACAAATAGAGTCCTTCGACGAAGAACCGTGGGCTCAGAAGCAAAGTGTCCAGAACTAGCTACCTGCCTACAAGGACTGCATTGGCGAACTCCGGCGTATGCCTGATCGTCCTGCAGGAACTGTACAAGGTCCTGGTGCGACTAGCCCGGAAGGACGCGCGTTTGTTCAGCTGGTGTCTCGAAAGGCGTATGCGTTGAGAGCACAGCGGTCCACCGCTAGAGTCCCAGAACGGCAGCTTACCGAGTCGCCAACAAGGAGCGGAGCTGGTCGAGATAGCTGGAGGCGGGCAAGGACAACGAGGACCCAGGACGACGAAAACGAGCGTCGAGCGAGCAGCCCACACGTCGAATTCTTAGGCCTGCGGCAGAGAGGGTAGGGTGGAAGCGTTCGTCTAGAACCTGGCGTTTGACCCAGGGACTGCGTTGGCGGCTTCCGGCGTACGCCTGAACCGTCAGGTAGAAGCTGAGCCGACGTCCGGTGCGACCGGCCGGGACAGAGCAAGGGACAGGAGGCTGCGGCTGCGAAAGGCGTACGCCTTGAGAGCACAGTGCCTGTTCACCCTAGTCTGGGAACGGTGACGCATCCCTAGTCCCTGTAAACCCGCCGAGCCAAGGGTGGCAGAAGACATCGCAAGCAAAACCGGCGAGGAAGACACCACTTCGCAGCCGGCACGATCCAGAGAGGCGTTCAACGCGGGAAGGAGACGACGGCAGGACGTGATTCTACATAACCAGTACACCACCCCGGCCGAGGGTCAAGTCGGCGAATAAAAGATCACTGCATACTCCCAATCTTTCTGTGTGTTTTCACTGGTCAAAAGGGCGGTCACGTATATATAAATTTGGTGGGACGAACACTTACATCTTCTGAGCTAGCCGCACGACATTCGTAGCGAGCAGATAATAAAGAAAATCAGTTCGTTACAATGCTACTGGCAAATTCCAGCTGTCATCGTCTCCTTCCTGTGGCCCCTTCCGAGGATTCCCTGGCGGAGAAGTCCTGTCTATCATTTTCCCTTTTGACCATAATAAATACTTGCTCATAAATTTGTTCTACTCTATCTCTATTTAGATGTTTTATTAATGTTTATGTTTTAATTTTTATAGTTTTGATCCGGCTGCGCATCCACAACACACAATGACACCTTGAACAAAATAAACACAATTCAACTACAACAGGGAGGGAAAAACTCAACATTCAACGGAGCCAACTTCACCACCGGATTTCCGTGTCTTCATTTACCAGCACAAGTTTCTCGGTGAGCGCTGTTGACCATCCCATCTTCCACAGAAGACTAGGTGTCAAGGGCGCTCCCCACTCTAATATCTGTACTTCCCACTTACTTACATCACTAAATGATTGTTCTAGGAACGCCGTAAGTGCATCGCATCCTGACCTCATCACGGGTAAGTAAGGGAAGTTTTCCCTATTTGGACTACATCTGACTCAGGCTATTAATCTGCTCTATTTTCCTGGCGCTCGACTAGCACACCAGACATCGGGATAGTCGCTAACTAGCCGACTACATTTTTTCTGCTAGTGCCGAACCACCCTTACCAAGCACCCTCTTCCGTTCGTCAGATAAGTACCATCTCTTACAAAAAAAAAGTCTGACATTTACTTTGGGGTATCTTTGCTTCCAGATCTCCCCGGCACCGCGCTACTATGAACCGACCATCAGGTCCTTCATAGGCCATCTTCACCGGCGTAACCGAATCGCTAAGTCCCCTCCGAGATCCTTACTCTCGGCTGGTTATTTATATTTCCCGCCGGCGTGCAATTTGCATCCTTTTCGACCCTTACGGATGATAGGATCAGCGCATCCACTCCTGTCATTTAATTGGAAACCATCTATTGTTACGGACCTGGTTTTTCGAAAATGGTTCAAATGGCTTGGAACTTTGTCAACGACTCTCTTAGCACCGTGGTCTGTCTTCAGTGGGAGCCGGAAATCATAGCCGTGGCTCTTATCCACTTGGCCAGCAGGCTGGGCAAGTTCACTGTGCAGGACTGGGAGAGCCGCCAGCCACAGCACCAGCGCTGGTGGGACATGTTCGTGTCGGACGTAACAATGGAGATCCTCGAGGACATCTGTCACCAGGTGCTGGACCTGTACCAGTCCATCCAAAAGGAAGCCCTTCAGCCCAGTAGCCCGCCACAAAAGCCACCCAGCCTGGCGGACAGCCCAATCATTCATTTTGAGGTGTTTGCGCACTTGGCGCTTGTATTTGAAGTAACTAGTTGTAGGGCGAGAACGGGAACCAATAAAGTTTTCGTACGTTCACTCTTGCGAATTCGCCTCGTCTCTCGCCACCGTAGCACAAGTTAGGTTCTAAGAGAAATTATTGAAATATTAAATTTAGTTATCAATCGAGCTTCAGCGTATCCACTCCCTTTTCGTCGTCGTACTTTCGCAAAAGTTTTTACACAAATTATCTCAAAATAAATCGTCTCGAACCTACTGCAGTCACAAGTTTCGCGTTCTTAATAGAAAACAGTATTAAATTTTCAAAAGGAATTATTAAACCTGCGATTCATTGGTCAGACAAAATTAACAGCCTGAGCCAGTCATAAAAACGAATCCTGGACAAAATAATAAGCCGGGTTGATGAAGCTACCGGAATATTTAATGAGCTCATAGCATGATTCGGGTTCTTAAAAATTATAAAAAATGTCTTGATGTGGTGCATAAAAATGTCCAAAGCTTGTTAAAAAACAATTTATGAATTTAAGTATATTTATTTTAAGTCAAATGTCGATGTTATTTGCGTATCAGAAACTTGGTTTATTCGATCTATTTGATCGTTCTGGCTATAAATTGATCGTTCTGATTGCGCAGGTAATGCTGGAGAATTAGCGATATACATGATACGATGAAATTGAATATACTTTTATTAAGCTAGCCAACCAAATGTCAGAAAACAAAACTTTAATTGGTTCCATTTACCCAGTATACAGACGTAATAATCAATGATGACTACAATGAAAATATTTTAAAAGAAAAAAGTAATATAGGGTATTTCCACAGAGATCCATCTACCTTCCACCAACCGTTGAAGGGACGCCATAAGGTTTTGCCGTTCCAAAAACTTCCTAGTTAGTCCGCCGTTAAAATTTGACGGACTTAGGCGAAAAAATGTATGCGATAGTTAGCCGATGTTTCTGCAGTCCATCCCTGAAAAACCTTTGGAATTTTTAACAAATGTGAAACTCCGATTTTCACATTCCACCTTCCGATTTCAGCTGATCTTAAAAACTGTAGCTCGTCAAAACATAATCAAAGATGGTTGACCTTTTACTTTGTTTACGTTTTGACGAGTCGCAGCTGTTCAGATCAGCTGAATTTGGAAGGTGGATGTGGTCTTTGGAAATTGGAGTTTCACATATGTCCAAAATTCCGACTGTTTTCCACAGATGGACTGTTCCAGAAGAAGGTTTTAGTATTAAAATTGTTATATTGTAATCGTAAGAAAAATTTTGGTATTTTTATTCTTAAAAAACCATATATATATATGATAGATTCCATATCAAGATAATATTGTAAAATTTTGAATGAATATATTCTCAACCAATCGATTATGGCAGCAATTATTGTGAACTCCAGAGTTAATTCCAAAGTGTTCAGATACACTGACACAAGTAAGTTCACGTAAATAAAACTCTTTTATGCTCCGTGCTGAAACATACAACAACAATTGTATTCATACAAAAAAGTTCCAGTTAATTCAACGATATGAAAAAAAATTGAATTGTTTTCATATGTAAATACTTAGGGCTTAGAAAATCTCCACGAGTAAACATTTTCCTCCGTTTTCTACAACACAGCTTAATATTGTTACGGAACTGCACCTTTCCCGGAGGGCAGCGCCGGCTAGCCACGGAGTTCCCAGGGTTCCCTGCAGTCCGAAGAATTGATTCCGACTCATCGAACGTCTCACATCTCTAACTTGACGATTACCATCACAAATCAAAACAAAACAAAAGTGTATTTACATCAAAAGCTGAGAAAATTGGACGAAATTGGTTGCTTGGGTGTAATTGCCACGACGCACCCACCCTTCCTTGGGTGTCCCAAAGCTAATGTTGGAGGCACACTCCATCTCCGACAGACCGGAGTCTATTCCTGGTGGATTAGGATCGGCTCATCTCCCCGCCCAAGGTAACTCACACAAACATTTCGGCCGTTTGTTTACATTTAATTTTGTGAAAGATTGATGATAAAACACATTCAGATTTAATTCTTACTCATAATCTACTCTTTTCGTAAGCAACACTTAAGGCCGATCTCAGACCGTCGCCCAGATGAGAAGTTGTCAAAGCGACAACAACTGAAGGAAAATTTTTAGACGCTGAAAATTATAAGTGTTTGGCAAAGTCGCCACGGATGTGAAGTATACGGCACCAATTTGGAGGCGTTTGCCCACCCGGGTCACCTAATCCTGAGGAGCTCCAAGGGAAAAGAAGGGACGTGCTGAAAAGGTAAGTATGCTTAAAAAAAAAACCCATAAGTCATTAAATTTCGCGATCCAATCTAGACGTTGTTGGTCGCGTGGCTAGGGTGCGGCATTAAGCCTCTAATTCCAGATTATATTTCACAGTGAGTATTTGAAACAATTTTGACTGTGCGATTTCATTAATTCATAACTACAACTTATTTATTGCAGAGTTTAACGATGGTTATAGTCCAGCCTGGTCGAAGCTGCCGCAAGAAGAAAACACCGCTAGCGGCGAAAACCAGCGCGAGTCCGCACGGAGCCAAATGGTCCGGAGGGTAGCTCGCGTCTGCGCCAGAGGAGCTGGAGACAGTGCGTCGGTGGTCCCAGAGATGACCACGTAGTCAGCGCGAGTATTCATTCCCGGAACGGACTCACCGAGGGAATGCTGATGCCGCTGCTGATGTTGCTGCGGCTGCGGCTGATGCTGATCGCTGCTGCTTCTGCGGCTGATGATGCTGATCGCTGCTACAGCTGGTGGACGACGTGGTCTTCACGACCAGGTTAGGGTCCGCCAGGTAAGTATTTTGCCCTCCCGAGTCTTCCAAATTTCCGCGGCCCTTTAGATAGGGTCCCCGGCGGCTTTAATATTTTTCAAAACCACTGATATTTATAAGTTTCTGACCAATAAATAACTACTCACTTCAAGTTGTCTAAGCACTAATCATTATTCTATTTTTTTTACACGACCGTTCGTCCACGACTTTTTTCACCAACTTAACTAAAACCCTGACCTACTCCAAAGTCGTTGGCCATTTTCACTACCGCTCTCTCAAAATAGGCAAGTGAACGCATTCAAGGCTATTTAACCCAACGAACGAAACGTGTTAAAAAAATTAGTCTTAAAATTAAAAAAAAAAATTTGTTTAATTTCTTTTATTTATTGCCTAGACCCTGAAAGCACCATCCACCATCTCTAAAAAAGATGTTCGGTTTGGTTTTGCCGTGCCAAAAATATTCCAATTATTCCCTAATGGTGGAATTAACGTTTTTAGCCACACGTTTCTAGTTGATATTAAGCCGATTTTGTGTCGGTGCAACTCCAAAGTCTTGGCGCGAATAAATATGAATTGACATGGCGGCCATCTATGTTTCTGTAAACCAGAGGCGTAGTCGAAGGAGAAGGGAGGCTTGGTAGGTAAACGCTTTCCCAGGCAGCAGTTTGAATACAGAGTAGATATTAGCCATTATGTAAAAGATCAGGCAACCATTTAAAAACTAGTTTATAGCAATTCAAATAAAATAAAAGCAGGAAATAGTACTCATAAAAGAGTTTGATAGAGTTAAATACCCCTCAAAAAATTCTGCTTACGCCACTGTGACTCTTGATGTATGTATGTACACCAGTCCACCATCACTGAATTATCCCAACCGTTTCGCTTAGATGGGCTCTTTGGGACTGGGCTATTAGCTAACTGCTTTGCTACGAAACACAAGAAAATTAATTAATTAATTGGCTCCTAACCATCGATGCTATCGATATTGCCATCGATTGTTTGACAGCTTTGAACAAGTAGAGGTAGAGATGTTTTGGTGAAAAACGTCGACGTTTCATCGATGTTAAGAAAGAAATCTGTTTTGTTGCTTATTACAGATTATTTAAATATTTGTTTTTGTTTAAATATAATAAATGATCCCAAGCAACTGAAGCTTCGCAATACTTTTTCTGAGCTGGTTCCTCCACAATTTCATCAGAATTTGATGTTCCTAAAAAGTCATATTGTTAAACAGGCACCATGTGAACGTACAAATGTGCATATGGACACACGTACATGCCTTGCCCCTACGTGCAATCATACATACATAGAGTATGCCCATATAATAGCCTGATTCTATTGGCATTTAGCGTAATGCGAATTTATTTACACAGGGTATCCTATAAGGATAAATGCCGCATTTAAAATAAATGCGATTAAAAACCATTCGCCCCGAACGTTTTTAGAAAAAATAACAAAAAATACCGATGTTTAACGATATTATGTTCGTGCCACCACTACAACAGCTGTTTTCTATATGCAAGGCTGGAGCCATTTTTGATGTGTATTGAATATAAAATCTATTTTATATAAAAATGACTGAACCTAGAGCGCACGCTGCAAATTCTGCTCACAGTATCACAATGCATTGCTGCTGGATCTCTGGCATAAAATACCTCCCGTATATTCGTGGATCCTTGCCCTTTTTAGAAACTGTGGTGGACTCCATTGCAAAACCCGTCATAACAACGCAATCATTTTCTCTTCCTTGTCGTCCAAATTGGCAAATGCCTCGGTCGCATTATGGATATCCTTCTAAGCATTAAAGAGTTGAGTAAACTCACTCATATTCATTATTTTTAATTAATCATTTGGGTTTGCCAAAATTCAAAAGCAAAAAAAACCAGATCAGCTATTCGTGCCGTTCACATGTCGGAGTAGCATTAGCTAAATGCTAATGCGCCAATGGAAACAGGCACATTTAAAAAGTCCACTAATGCGGCAATGGAATAAGGCTATTACAGGTTTTCCTTGTTCGTTGCGCAGTTGGAAAACATCGATGTTGGCTTGCGGAACATCGATGGTAACATCGATGTTACCGATGTTTTAAAAACATCCATGTTTCTCCACCTCTATGTGCAAGGTGTCGCAGTGCTCCCAAAGGCTGCAAGTCGTGTTTATTTGGCACCAAAAAATAAACCCGAAGTCTTTTCTGAGATGCCGTGCTGGTACTACGACAAGAAGGAGCTGCGCGAGACGCCGTCGATCCTGGACGGCATAGACTTTGAGACGGAGCGACGCTATCGCAAGGAGGGCGCCCGCTTTATCATGGAGTGTGGCACAAAGATGGGCCTGGGCCACAACACGATGGCCACTGGCGTGGTGTACTTCCACCGATTTTACATGTTCCACTCGTTCCGCAGCTTCCCGCGCTACGTGACTGCCTGTTGCTGTCTCTTTTTTGCCGGCAAGGTGGAGGAGACGCCAAAAAAGTGCCGCGACATTATTAAGATGGCGCGCGGCATTCTAAACGACAATTACTTCTTTTCGTTTGGTGAGGATCCCAAAGAGGAGGTGATGACGCTGGAGCGCATCCTGCTGCAGACTATTAAATTTGACTTGCAGGTAGAGCACCCGTATACCTTTCTGCTTAAGTACGCAAAGTGCTTCAAGGGCGACCAGCAGAAGCTGCAGAAAATGGTTCAAATGGCTTGGAACTTTGTCAACGACTCTCTTAGCACCGTGGTCTGTCTTCAGTGGGAGCCGGAAATCATAGCCGTGGCTCTTATCCACTTGGCCAGCAAGCTGAGCAAGTTCACTGTGCAGGACTGGGAGGGCCGCCAGCCACAGCACCAGCGCTGGTGGGACATGTTCGTGTCGGACGTAACAATGGAGATCCTCGAGGACATCTGTCACCAGGTGTTGGACCTGTACCAGTCCACCCAAAAGGAAGCCCTTCAGCCCAGTAGCCCGCCACAAAAGCCACCCAGCCTGGCGGACAGCCCAAATCCCACGGACATCGTGTTTTCCACGGTGCAACAACAAAAGCCGCCACCCCCAAGTGGAAACGATAGCTTGCTGGCAGTCAGCAACATCCAGAGCATCAAGACGCTGCCCATCCTGTGTACCGGTTCTAGCCCTGGGTTCCATCCGGCTACACATGGCCCAACGCCTCTTGTCCATACCCCCGGCTACCACCTTTACCACGCTCCGCCACCACCTCCTCCGCCGGTCGTGCCCATGCCGCCCTACCCCTCTCCCAGCTGGGCAATCCAGCAGCAGCCGCCCACACATTACGGTAGCGGCGCGGCACCTCCTCCGCCAATGCCACCCAATCTGCCCCTTGGCCCTAGTGGGTACTATAGCGCCGGCGGACGACAACCTCAGCAGCGGTACCAGTAAAAGGACATGATGGTTCGGTTCGAAGATAAACGAGTTAAAATATTAATTATTCATAACGCGTAATTATATTTAAAAAAAAAAAGCGTTTTAACTTAGATTTACGGATTTAGAATTTGGCAGGGACCCAGTTGAATTGTTTCACGAGTGGGCAACTAAATTTCTTGACTACTTAAACTTTTATTCAAATTTGGTTTCCTCGTATGCAGCTCCGAAATTCATCACTGCATAAATCACCCTTTCATCAGTCTGTCGACTGCAACGCCGGCATATTTGACATTTTTACTTGACAATCGTAGCAAAAATTGAAATTGGAAACTAGGGACGAATTTTTGGCGTTGATTCACAAATTATTAAATCTGGTGAACCGGGTATAAAAATTTAAACGCAGGCTAATTCTCTTATACTTAAAATTGTTGTTTATTTATTCAAAGAATACTTAATTAAAAACGAAAAAGTACAAAATAAAGGTCACAGCTTATTTTAACCAAAGAACAAAGTAAACTCATAATATTTTTGGCCATTAATAAAAAATCTAAATATATAGTTTTATCACCCTTCTAATCAAGAAAAATTTTATAACGTATTGAATATTGAGAGTATGAGATTTTATGGGTGATATTAGCTAAAAAATTGTATATTTTCAAACGTATCTCGACATTTTGGATATCGCTAGTGTCCAGAGACTGTTATGGCGATACTTTGGCTATAACGAAAACTTTAATTATTAGGAAGATTTTCCAATAATTCTTCAGAACGAGAAGGCATATTTGTTCAGGATCCAAACAATTTCTTTTGCAGGACCAGCACTCGACGTACAGGCCCACAACAAAGCGCAATAATAAACCAACAGGTTTATCTAGGGTCGCCCCAATATTAAAAACGTTTAAAAAAAATAACATTTTCAACCAAAATCACCAAAAAAAACGCACTGGTAAGGGAGTGGGGTACCATTTTATCAAAAAAGAAATTGATAGAATAAATTCAAAAAGTAATGAAACTCTACTTAACACTTTTTTAATGACCATTATTTTTATGAGTTATTTGGTTCAAATTAGGTTATTAACTAAAAAAATATGTACATATGTATATATGTTAAGTATTTTTGAATGAATAAACAACAATGTTAAGCATCAGAGAAATAAGCTGTGAGCCCCCGTACGAGGTGCGATACTTTATGCTTCTGTGCTTACGCATGTACTAATTGTTTCTAGTTAGGTTTTGTGGAGGTGGCAGATACATTGATAACGGTACTATATGAATTTTGCAAACGTTAACGGTTAAGTAAGTTAAGTTACGTAAACCCTTGCGTGTGTATCTGGGTTAGTTCGTGTGGGAGTAAGAAGAAAGGTTTGCGAGTACACCCTAACATTTGCGAGTCAAAGTTAGCTCTCCGCTCTCGTAATACTGCGGGATCATTAGAACTTCAGGCAGGGCGCGACTGCAGGAAGGCGTCGACGAAGCCTGTGCCGATGTAAATGCCGCTACCGTTGCCTGTCTCACAATATGGCCAACTTTTCCTGAAAGCAGAAAAAACAAAAATTTAAAATTTAATAAAGACCAGGCACAATTTAAATTTAAAAACAGGACAGTTCTATGTAGTTTTCACTTTCGAAAAATCCTTACGGAATCTAAATTCCCTTTGTTACTTCTATGTAAGCTTTCTCACGTTTACTTTTCGCAATGCAACTCCGCCAGCAAAGAAATAAATTGTTTTGAAATACTTTGCGATAAGTTAACGTGCAAATGATATTTGTATCCATTCTTTATTATTGTACAATAAAATTGGTTAATAACATATATATTTTACTTTTTTAAATTATTTTTTGGTTGCAAGGGCTGTCATGGTAAAAAAAAAGTATTTTCTTGGTGTTTATCTTAAGCAAACCCTTTTGTGTTCGTGATATGAAAGGTATTTAATCTAAGTTAAATTTAAAAGTGTTTTTGTGTTTATTACCGCTTAATTTAATGTACTAATTGTGTGAAACGTGTTCTTCTTTCATCGAACTCGGCAACCCTTTCTTTTTACTTTTGCAATAAAAAAGTGAATTGATTTCAAAACAACCTCAAAAAACGCATTGAGCGCTAATAACGAAAATGTTAGTACGAAATAAGATTAAAATTTACATATTAATCGACTATTTTCAGGCGGAAGCACAAGAAAACAAATCAAAATAAAATATTCCCCGATTTCATGATAAACAAATAAGGAAGCAAACTTCGGCAGCCGAAGTTTATATACCCTTGCAGCTATTGCAAAAACTAAATATTCTTGAAAACATTAAAATTATGATTTACTTGCGTATATGTTTAAAAACATTGAATATATGATGATTTGCAGTTTAAATATTCAATACTTCCTATGGCAGCTATATGATAGTTTTCCGATTTCAATAAAATTAAAAGCGGTAGTCTGAACTGTCAAATTATTAATAAGTCAAACAAAATTTAAAAAAAAAAGTTACAAAATAAAAAAATATAACTTACAAAGAAAAATTAATGATGTGTTTTTAATGTTTCCATGGAAAACCGTATTTCATAAATATTTAAGCATTACTATATGTCGAGAACTAAAAAAAAAATTAAGAAACAGCAAAGTCTTAATTTTTTTTATACTTTTTTTCCGATTGTTCCTATGGAAGCTATATGGTATAGTCGTCTGATTTTAATAAAATGTAAACCGTAATTCTAAAACATTCAACCATAACTTTTACGTAGACAAACTAAAAAAATTTGAAAAAACGGAAAATTATAATTTTTTTTTATTATTTTTCCGATCATTCCTATGGGAGCTTTATGCTATAGTCATCCGATCCGGCTCGTTCCGACTTATATACTACCTGCAATAGAAAGATAACTTTTTTTTTCAGGCAGATAGCTTTAAAACTGACATGGCTAGATCGACTCTCCTAGTGATGCTGATCAAGAATATATATACCTTATGTATATATATCGGAAATGTCTCCTTGACTGCGTTGCTTCTGACTGAAATTATAATACCCTCTGCAAGGGTATACAAATGAAGACATCGCCAGGTGCCTTATAATACCCTCTGAAATTGTATAAAAATGAAGACATCGCCAGGTGCTTTAAGGAAGGAGGCCGTGTGGCCGTTGATGCCAGATGGCGTGGAAAAAATTAGGACTTTTAATACTTTTTAATTATTAAATATTTTATTTTATTTTATTTATTATTAATATTTTAAACATTTATCATTTATTGGTATGGTGTACCTGGAAAGCCGCTGTGAAGAAAAAGCGGACAATAGAAGAGCATCTTCTGCTACCGGTATGTGGACTTTACGAAATGGTCAATTGGACCGAAAGAGGATAGTCCTTTGACCTTCCTGATTTGGATCAAGCTGAGGTTCAGGCGTTAATACAAACGGCTAAAAGCACATCCCAAATCTGCTAGTACTAACAAATTGCTGTATATTGATAGAAATAGTCTGGTCCTGCCGTCCTACCAAATAAAAGTCTCATGACAAGCGCCAGGGTAAGTGGCCTCTATTAAAAACATATCCATATTATAGTTGCATACCCATGCATATGGGTATATATTAATAAATTATTTAAGTACAAACTTACCACCATTGCATTAATGCTGAAGTAGTCTTTTCGATTTAAATATAATGAAGGGTTTTGACTGGCTTTGTAATCCTTCGATCGCCCGATGTCACTCGAGTTCAATAACTCTTTAGATAACGGCTTTATAGCAGCAGGTGGATATAACGCAAAACATCAATATTGGGAGCTCCCGCCTCGCTAACACTAAAGATCGTCAATTGTACAAACCTCCACCACCCCAGCCAAGTAAGAGTTTGTTTCACCGGGTAGACCTATCTACTGATCCAAAAAACCACCCAGCTATAACTGATTTTGATGTAAAAAGTAGAGTGCAGCCAAGTTTAAACGGCGCTGAAACACTAGCAGATGTCATCTGACCAGCCAAAACTTCCACTGACAATCTCAACATCGAAGCTGCAGTACCTTAAGGAAGCGTACTAGGTCCAATCTTGTACACTTTTTCAACATCGTACATATATACAAGCCATCAAATGGTGTTATCAACCTTTGCTTATTACACTGCAATTGTCTGCCGTTGAAAATCTCCAAATACAGCAACCGAACATACAAAACATTTCGTGGCTGTAGAAAAGTGGCTAGCTGACTGGCGTACACAAGTCAACGAGCAAAAATATAACCATATCACGATTACGCTCAACCGAGACATTTGCTCACCTTTAATAATACATTAATTCCAAACGATTACACCATACTTGAAGAAACCAAATAGAAATACCTGCCTAAAACTAAAGGTCAGCAGTTTCCATGGGCTTAATAACTCCCGCTCTCCGCATCAATGGAAGCAGCAGCAACATAGAGATTATCAAACGATCGCAATCTATAACTCTGAGAACAATCTCTGGGGTCCCCAGGTATATTCGCAAAGTCTACATCCACAGAGACCAGGATATAAAACCCGTAAAAGAAGAAACGGAGAGCAGGAAAGTTAACTATAACACCAGTCTGTCAATACATAAAAATCAACTAGTCAGACAGCTATACCGGCTCAGCAGCCATACCCGATTATTTTTTAATATTTTGTAAAATTACCCCGCTGTCCAGTAATTCTTTATGTTTACTAAAGCTGGGCGTTATTTTATGTCTCCTATTTTCATTCAAAAAAAAAAAAAACAGAATTACCAACCGATTAGTCGGGGGATCAATCCTAGTTTCGTTTAATCATTCTGTTAGTTTTTAATTCGTGTTCTCTCTCTTTTTACTTTAGGATATAGTATAGTGTTAAATATATAAGCTAGATACCATTTTTAAGCTGAATACCATTGTTAAGTTAAGGTTTGAATACTTCTTGTTAGTCTTTTAGGCAACACGAGGTGGTCCAATAAATATAATTAAACATTATAAAAGTATTTTCACTATAGCATTTTAATAGGCAATCGTCGAATCTTTATTTGATGAGCCGTGGTTTAGTGGTTAGAGTGTCAGACTAGTATTCTGTCGGTCATGACTCATAAATTTAAGTTAAAAGCATAACATTTTTTGTATTGTTTATTTAAAGTTGTTTAATTTATTAAGCACTGAGAAATGTAGGCGACCCAGAAGCTCGGGGGTCTCCACTTCCTCGTAAATAAGTTATAGGACAATAGGATATCAACATGCATGAATACAGTCAACGCACAACATCCCATCGTATACGATGCCTAAAGTGGATTGATCCAATGAATGTCATTAAGCATTTAGCGCTTTTTAAGTCCAACACCATGTTAAAATGCATTAAGATCCGTTTGTAAGTCTGAGGTGAGGAAAGTTGCAGGTATAACTTAAGGGGCCATACCAGTGGGAGACTTTTTTTAAAAAAAAAATTTTTTGTTGACACAGTTTAAAACTTTTAAAACTGTTATTTTAATAGAATTAAAAAAATTCAATTTTTTAACACCAAAAAACGACATTTCTGTTTAAACCGACGCTATT